GTGCGCCTTATAGTCATGAAAATACGGTATGTGTGTCTGCTTTTAGCTTTATTTGAAGTCACTTTTGTAAGATATTCTTCTAACAGGTCAAAGATCAAGCTGAGAGTGATGCACTCTGCAGAGCTGAAATCTGAAACATAATCCCAGGAATGCATTTGGAATGAATTATCCTGCAATTATTTTCTGTGTCTAGTACACTGGGGAAAATATAATTTACAGTTGTTCCTGTTATTTGCTGTTCGACTATAGATCTTAATTGCCCTTATACGTTTTGAGGTAGACAAACTTGTTTTTGATGGTTGTTGCTGAAATAAATTTTGTGTTTAAAACATACTCTGCAGTTTAATTTCTTACAGTTTTGAAAGAAAGTCAGTCAAACAGAATCAACCTGTTGACTTTAAACAAAGTGATTCAGTTGAAAAAGTATCCATGATGAGGAATGAAATGAATATATCTGTTCCTGCTGAGTCTCCTATTGACTATTACTGTTAATTACGTTTGACAGCTCATTTTTATCAGAAAATGAAAAACTTAAAATATCTAATTTAAACAGACTGACGTTTAAAACTACATCAATACAGTCACTATTTGTCATAGTGAACATATTCTAAAGGTGCTGACAGCCCAGATAATCCACACATAGAACAAAATCAACAAATAAGCATATAAGTAATGCTGTTTTATGAAACATGGCAGAGGTATTGAGCACATTAAAAAAGGGATGTGGAAAAGGCATTGAAAGCCAAGATACCAGCTGAAATCTATTGGTGGTCAGAAAGCCATCCTCAGCAGAGCAAATAAAAGATGTTTCATTACCAAGGTGTTACGCTAGTAGCAGCTCAAAATGGGTAAAAGAAAATTACTCTTTCAAAACCTGCACAAACGTATTAATGCTAATAATTCTGGTGGCGCTGCCTGCAGAGGGATTTCAAAACCTGTGAATATTCCAGTGAGCACTGTGGGGCGCCATGCTTTGGAAGTGGAAAGAATCACTTGGTCATAAATGGACCAGGAAGTAATTAGCAGGAACAATTGTTTGAAATAAATAGGCAGTGTACTACCAATGAGTAGAGAGAGCCAGACTGAAAGGCAGCACAGAAACACTGATCATGGCAGCACAGCAGAGAAAAACAGGTCTAGATCTACCATACCAGGTAAGATCCCAGGTGCAGGCTTTGCAAAGAGGCCCCAGAAAGAATCCAGCATCTCACAGCAGTGAATGCAGCAGTATGATCATACATGGTCTGCTTTTACCAACTGGCTAACTGGAAAGTAGATTTTGAAAGGTCGGTGTGACATGTTGACATATCTGCTATATGTTCCATAAAACAAAATTCAATAAAGTTTGCATTACAAAAAAAAATATGTGTCTAATTATTCATCTACTAAAAGTTTGTTTTAGCACACTTATCTGTTTTGTATATGCGATTTGTCCTATAACAGAATGGCAAGCTTTGGCCAAGTGGTCCAAATAAGAGGCAATGTGTAACCAGCCGCTCACCTCACAGAAAAGATTAGGGTGGATTTTTGGCAGCTATGTTCTAATATCATTTGGTCCTTTCAATAAGAGAGGGATGCTTATAATCTTAGATAAATAATAAATCCTTATTTTTGACATTACAAATTTCACAAGAACCAAGTTTTTGTCATTTAGACTAAAGATAAAATAATATCCATGCATTAAAGTATTGCACAATTGCATAAACTATGGCTTAAATATGGTTCCTCCAGATTAAAACGTATTTGGAAGAATTCTAATAAAAATTATATATAATTTAAATATAATGAATATAATAATTGCTTTTTCTTTTAGATATTTGAAGTGTGTAAATTCTTAATGCAACGACACCTCTAGAAACAATGCAGAAAAATGAAGGGAGTTGCAATTTAGATTGCGTGAATAGATCTAATTAACTTGGAACGTTATGATCCAAATCTTTATAACACTAATAATTCATTCCCTCCTGGACAAGAAGAATAAGTAGACCTGATAATAGAAAAACAAACAAGACTATTTTAGTTTTAGACACTGATTATAAAGCAAAGAAATAGTTTTAGTGAGTTTGTGTATGTGAAAATAACTATTTCTAAAAAATTATTGTTATGAATCCATTAGCGTATTTTATGCTTGATTTGCTTTAATCAAACCGCATCTACACATAATTTAAAAATATAGAGGGTTCAGTGTGACTCAATCTTTTTATTATATCATTAATTTCTTTATACCTTGACAGAGAACCTAATGATTTAGAGCCCGGTTGTATTACAAATGTCCGCTTGTGATGCTCTTACATAATTATCGGCTTATTACCTGAGTCTTCAAAGCCAGGCCCTTCCCACTACATGAACCTGAGCCAATTATTTGTCACCAAACAACATAAAAACGGAGGTGTGGAAGAAAATCAGGGAGCAGAGATCACTCATTCACATCCAAAGCTTCACTGACACTTCAATATGGACAATCCAGGTTAGTGTTTTTTTTTACTGATGATGCAGAAAGCATCTAAATTTTAAAATGTAAATGAGACATGCAATGGCAATGATATGATTTTTGTTTTAGATTTTTTTTAAATCAACTAGAAAGCAATATTTTGAGTATCCTGTCTTTAAAGCGCAGCCTGGAGACCATTTTCAAACCTTTAATAATAGTTTTTCAAACATGCAAATTTCAGTTTATTTAAAGGGACACTTTTTTTCACCACAAATTAATAGAAAAAAGAGCACAAACACACATATCCAGTGACTCTTACTCCATAACAGACACATTTATTACATTTGGCGAAGCATCTTTGAAACCAGACCCGGCCTTGCTGTATTTTTCAAATTCATATATTTCGAATATATAACAATTTACTAATTAATTTTTACTTATTAAATAAGTAAAAATAATAACAGGTTTAGATATAATTAGTTTGTTCTTCCATGGAAATATTTATCTATTAATATGTCATAAATGTTGCACAAAGACAGAGGAATATGTAGATAATGCTTTATGACTGTCCTTTTCTATGCATATTTCTCAGTGACTCAGCAGTGCAGATACTAGGGTCAAAATGATAGCATCATGGAAGAGAAGCTGAAGCTTCACAAAAACATTACTGACCTGCTGCAAGACAGCAACTTTACTTATAACTTAGAAAACACAGCAACTCTGCAAATCATGTGTGCACATACTTATTTTAATATTAGATAACATTTAAAAAAAATACTAATACTATTTTTCTTTCACCACTACTTTAGACATTTTTATCCAGTTTGCACACCTATGAGTTGAGAATTGTTGTGAAACATGAGGTTTGTCTTTTTGCAAGTAAAATTGAATTATTAGTATAATCTAAGTACTTATTTTCAATCAACCAACCTTGAGTTTACCTGCTCCTCATCTGTGGTAACTCAAAGTAGATTTCTCCGCCCTCTGTCATTGCATATCTTCAGGCGTGTTTCTGTAGTTTTGCCCACTGTGGACCACGGTGAGTTGTGGTGGTTTGAGGTTGTACCTTTTTCTAGTGTCTGCTGTCGTCTGCTGCATCACTGCTGTAAAGTGAGATGCCTTCACAGACCAGTCTTCTTTAGGCTTCCCTAGTGGTTACTTTCTGGAGGCGGCGATCCAGCATCGCTATGAAAGGTGTCCTAAAGCTGTGCGTTCGGGCTGCTGTTGGGCTACGATGGCAGTGGTATTGATAAGGACAGCTCTCTTTATGGTGCTGGTACTGGTGCTTAGGTTCACTTAGCCTAATCCTGAGGATTTTTCAGAAGCACTGCTGATGAAGATCAATTACCCTTGCTCTGGATCTGTTACAGGCCCAGCTAGCACAGCTTTGGATGCTGAGGTGGCCCTGCCTTTATAGGTCTTTTATTTTCAATGCATAAGGTTGGTGGTTAGACAGTGGTGCTGCTACTGAGGGGTGGTTGAGAGATGCTTTGAGATATTAACATGGGCTACCTGGGCATTTTCATATACAGGTATAATAGATATTGTAGAAAACCAACCTTTAGCTTGAGATCTACGTTATGTTATCACTAGATTATGTTGTGAGCATTTTGTGAGCCGTAGCTGTAGTTTGTAGGTTAAATCCTTCTTTCACCACGTTGCTTCTTTTGAGGTTATGGCTCTGACCCTTTCTTGCTTTAAAGTCATCCTGCAGGAGTAACATTTCCTCCCCGGGAACCTTAAATAAGGTGTTATCCAGGTCAGACTTCAATCAACATCAAGCATTGGAGTAAAGGCTCTGTTCATGGCTATTTGGCTGCTTGCAAGAGTCTAATATTATAAAGTTTTGAGTTACGCCCATAGGAAGCCCAGGGAGATGGTTAATAAAGCTGATCCCAAGAACAAAAACTAAGCTGGGGATTTCTTAGCTCTTCTAATGGCTGTCCGTTCCAAAAGAAAGTGTATCTACCATTTTCCTCCTTCAGCTGGCCTTTATTGGGTAGATTGCAGTGATAATCTGGGATTGAATTAGCCATCTGGAAAAACCTAATCCCACTGTCCTATGAATTACTGGCCTATTACAGTAGTACTGTAATTTAGCAAGTAAAATGGTGATCTAAGGACTAGCTTTTAAAACAGCAAGCCCCTCATAAGTAAATCAGATAAAATAATTGATAGGTAGAAACAGAACAGAACCAATAAAATGATGTGATGGTGTTACAGATTTGAGTCAAATTATCTTTAAAAAAACAACAAACGACATAACAGGTTTAATAAGCAATTTGCAATGCAAATCAGAAATAAAACTTATTTTAATAAATTATTAAATTTCCTTAATGTTGCTATTGATTAACCCTCTGAAGGACAGATGAGTTTAAAGAATAAACATCCAAATAATGAGTGTTTATTATTGAATATCTTCTTCTTTTTTTTTTTTAGTCACTTATGAGGAACTGAAGACTCTTCTGGCCAACAGCAAAAACCTGATTCTGATTGACGTTCGTGAGAAAAACGAGGTGGACCAAGGATGCATCCCCAGATCCACCCACATTGCCCGTAAGAGCTGGTTTATTAAATGCAGTTGAATAGCTTTGTTTTGTATTAGACTGTTCTTTTATTGTCACTCGATTGTGCCAACGGTCTCCTGTTGTCGCTTTCTCCTGTTTCTTTTTACAGTTGGGACTGTTGAGGCTGCTTTTAAAATGAATCCAGCAGACTTCCAGGCCACATATGGGATTCCCAAACCTGCAGTGGATGCACCTGAGCTGGTGTTCTACTGCCGATCAGGAAAGCGATCAGCAGAGGCCATCAGCAAAGTCAAACAACTTGGATATGTGACGTAATTACGTTTTTGTTTTTGTTTTTTGCAGCCTGAGTATGACTTCATTGATTCCTAAAGATCCATAATCTTAACTTTGGTGTTTCTGTTCTCTTTTGCAGAGCACGCAATTACACCGGCTCCTACCTTGACTGGGAAAAGAGGGAGGGATGAATAATGAGGAAGAGCCTCACCCTGAGCACTATATTTATATAATAATATAAGACCTGAAAAAATGTTGGAAGAGATTTTTTTTTATGAATAATTTGATGTTGGTTCTCATAAGACATGTATGGGAATTTTACATGTGTAAATAAACATCTTACAGATAAAATAAGCTATGATTTTTTTTCCAATTGTGTTCTTAAAGAGTTACATTGAATCCTTAAAAGAAATACTTATATTTTGACTTTAAACTGATAAATCTACAAAGACATAGGTCCTCTTTTGCTATAAAAACAGACCTGATTCATTAGTAGCCCCTCATCTAAGTCATTTGCAAAATCTATGTGCTTTAGTTTTTATTTCTTTTATAATTTGTGCTCCTCTGGTACTTATATCATTCTGGTTTGTGGCAGCATATATTATCCAGCTAAAATATTTTTTCTAGAATTTTCGTTAATTTTGGAAATTGGTAGAGGAAATTTTAGCTTCCTCTAAATCAGGTTTCGCTTGAAGTCCTATCAAATTTTTCCCTCTTCGTTGAAGGTATACCTTTGAATGTCTGCATTTGGTATAATATCAGCACATTACAAGGTAACTGTGAAAAGGAAGAGCAGCAGCAGTTAGCTGTGTGCAGTTACCAATGAAGATACACCACGAGCAGGCAAAGCAGTTACTATGTTCAGTTACGCTTCAGTCAAAGAAGAAGAAATCAAATTTTTTCTTCTGTCTTGGGATGGATGGCTGGCCTGACGTAGTCCTACTCAATTCTAGTCAGAATATGAGTCTGATACTGCTCCATAGAGCTGTGATTATGGGGCGTGTTTCTAACGAACCAGGGAAAAAAATGCCTCTGCGCTCAATTGGATAGACCTACAACCAATAAGAGCAACGGAGTGCGTTACGTATGTTAAGCGAGGCATAGTTGTTGTCCACAAAAATCAAAGCGTGCAGTTGCACGCCTAGAATAAGATGATGAGCCTTGATCGCGTTTCTCTGTTCCTCTTTTAAAATTAATTTGCTGTCGATATCTTCTAGAACAGACCTAATAGCAGAATCTACTCACCTAAACTCTCCAGCGGCAGCCATTATTGTTGTCACCCAAGCGCGCATTGGTCACGTGGTTGATTACGTTACTGTTGGTCATCTGTCCATCATCGTATAAAGCCCGCCCTGACAATTTGATTGGATCGCCTGACAGTGGGCGATAATACTCGCGCTACTATGGAGCAGAGCCAGACCGAACTTCCCCGAACTCAAACCTTGTGGGCGGGACTAAGTTCGGAATGGCACCCAGGCTAATGGATGGCATTTTGAGGTGAACTATGTTGCTCCTGCTGGAAGCATCATTCATGACTGGTTTCTATTAAAGAATTGAATGACTTCATGTGACACAAAGATGCTCTTTGTTGATGCTTTCAGCAACGAACTGGATCATGGGCGCCATGATTGACCATTGTGGATCATTACCACAACCTCGGGGTCTACAGTTTTTAGGACATTCTTATCCAGCCATAAAGAATCTGTAAAATTATTATACTTTTGTGTTCAAAATATTACTGTGCTGCTAGATATATTCACCATATTAGAAAGTGATATTGGAAGGTTTGATTGGTGAAGAGATAATGACCAAATGAATTGATTTAGCTAAATTCAAATAGTACAGTTTTTATTTCTGATTTATTTCAGCATGTCAATATTAAGTCTAATAGTTAACAGTAAGTTGAAAGATTAGCTTAAAGTTATCTAGCCTTAAATGTCCGGGTTCTGTAGATAATTAAGATTAAAGCAAATGAAGTCAAAATCCCTTTGTGTTTAAAGTTACAATTTCTCTATTTTTACATTCAAACTTTTTCCAAATGAACATTTTAACACAGACATTATTAAATGGTCACATTAGTGGTCTAATTTGTTTAGGCTTACCATCAGAGCAGCTCGGGTTATCCTGAACTATCTTTAAGTTATGCTGCTATAGACTTAGGATGCTGGAAGACATAAAGACATACTTTTTCATGTTCTTTTTGTTTTTTCTCATTCTTCTTAGTTGTAACACCATTCTGGAGGGAGGCATCAGCTTGGCTGCTGCTATCAAACGATTATAGATGAGCCTGTTTTTCAGTGTTTAGTCCTGTTTTCTCCTAGACACAGCAAGGGATTAGCATTCATTGTGACCAAATTGAATGCTCCCTTCCAAATATTTGCACATAAAAACAGGTTCATGAAGAGTATTTATGGATCAATGCTTCTATGTTCCTTTTGTACATTTTATACCAATTACTTATGTTTTTATAAATAGTAAAAGCCAATTATTTTTAGTTTTTTAATCAGCACATATTTCTATCCAATAAAATTGTGTGCAGTTAAACTAAGCAATTAACTTAGGGCTACCAGCTGAGTTTATTTAGATAGAAAACTTATCATCTGTTACAATCTGTTTGTATGATTTAATAGATTTTTTTTGGGTATTTTTTTGTAAAGTGTCTTGAGATCATGCGTTGTGAGCTAATGCTATAGAGCACAAAGTCCTTCTCTCCATATTGATAAGTCCAAGTTGCCTCTGAATATAAGTTTTGGGTACAGCTCTGATCTCTGATTCCTGATGGATTTTTAGTAATATTTCTCTTTTTTGTTGGTAAATAATGAACATACTTTGGGTTTTTCCTAACAAGTACACATATGCCAAGTGAGTGTTTGTAACTTTTTCTTATGTAATAAGTGAATAATAAAATGTTATCTTTTTTACAGATAAAAGTCAGAAGACTTTGCCTGCCCACAAGCGCATTTCATGTCAATGATCCAGCTTTTAATTTTCCTGAGAGAAAAAGGAAATCCCGTCTGCCGATTAATGTGCTTAATCTGGAGAAAGGCTGGTATTTATTTATTTGTTTTTTGTCTTTTTAAATGTAAGATTTTTTTTTCCACATTCAGTGAGCAGGCATCACAACATGGGTTAGATGTCATTAGCTATGCAGACTGTAATAAATCACAGATTTGACTGTCAGAATCTGAAGCGATAACAACATCATAAATCTTGTACATTCACCTTTGCTCATTGACAGGGTTTGTTTGTTTCCTTTATTTCTTTGTTTTATTACATTTAAATATGCTCTTATAAAATTAATCTCCACACAGGGCTGTGGATCAAAGAAGTTTGAGATATACTTGCATAGTTTTGCTTTTTTTATGAATACCTTGATAAATACAAGAGTGCTGACTAAATGAAACCTCTTTGGGTGAGGAACATAAATTTAAACAACTGCTGATAATATCAATGACAGCTTAAAGTGTCTAGCTAGACCAAAACCCTGCAGGATGATGCACGGGATGGATATTATTTATCTAGAGCAATCAGTAAGGCTGAATAAATGTGGGTTTATGTAGATTAACACACACATACCGTAGATAATTCTGTATCTTGTAGTTATGTAAAAAATAATTTTGTTAAAAAATGCACTACGTAGCCACTTTATTGGACACATCTTACAAGGCTGTGCTCTATTTATCATTTAGAGCAGCTTTAAGCATCTGTTGCAGATTTAACAAGGTGTCCAGTGAGTTGAGATATAGTGGCCATAAAGGCAACTTGACGTTTGATTTTTTTTTTTTTAAAGCAATTTAACCAGATTAATTGTGCCAGGAGGGGATCAACATGGTCTGCAGCAACGCCTATGGAGGCTGTAGTTTGTAAAATGTTTCCTCTTTTTTTTTTTTGGCCATTATTTGGGAGTCATTTGTGGGTAGCAGCGCAGGGAAATGAGCTCATACTGAAAAGAAATCCCCAATAAACCTAAAATGCATTGAGATGCTGCAATGTGATTGGCTGATTTGTGTTAGCAAAAAGTGAAAAGGTGGATGGTGAATATATAGGTCTTTATTATTCTTACTAACATCTTTATTTGAATGCAAAGATCAGTTAGGAGGATAAAAAACAACAACATTTTCTTGACATCTTAATGAGATTTCTTTGGTTTGCCTTAGTAGAAATCACATAGACGAACAACTCCTCCCTGTTTCCAATGAATTAACTGCTTTGTTTGAAGAAGCTGCTTTTCGAAGTGTTTCTTCATCCCATTCCTTTGAGGGTGGGTCTTATGATCCGAACACAGCTAACTTTAAAGATAACCCCCAAAGAGAATTTATTATATCTAAGCTCGGAGATAACACCCTGGAAAAACTGATAGATAAAAAAAACTGAACTTGGAGTTTAAACCTTCTTCATCTGCAAATGGTAGTTTTCTGTTTGGAACATGCTATGATAGCATACTGCAGATAGAAGAGGGACTGTAGAGGCTTTAATTCCAGCAGAGAAGGAGAATCAGGCTGGATTAATCAATAGTTTCATTTTCTTTGCTTTTATTTTTTCAACTTTGCCGTTTCAAATGCTCTTATATTGATTCCACTGTAGCTGTTCCTGTTTTATAGGGAGTGTAAAGCAGCCCATAAATAAAGTTTAATTGATTTATTGATAGAAATACAAAGAGTTATTTATGGGTAATCACCTTGTAAAGATTTATAGATTTATAGATAAATTTAAAGATTTATGGCTTAGTGTGTCTAACTTCTGCTACAAGTTCTAAAGGTGTTTAGATTTATTTATAGCAACTGAATCTAGATAGTATATCGTGTCTAAGGCCACAACATTTCTAATGAGATAACGTGGAAAAAAAGAAAGACAAATGGGAGAAAAACATTAGCTAATAATGTGGTATTTTAACTTGTTTTGTGTTAAAACAAATGCTACATAATACCTAGTTGAGATTGGAGGAAATTCTAGTTCAAAAAGAGAATAAACAGCTTTAGGTATTATTAAACGACTTTGCTTTTCCCTCCAAATCCAAACCACTAGAAACTTTTAAAAGAAAAGCATCCAGTTCATGGTTGTGTTTTGATTTAGTAACGACTTCCAACGCTTTCCCCCATGTTGGCATATAACTGTATTAGTAGTAGCTCCTGTGAGATCCATTTATCATTTATTATTGTTGTGGCGTATTTAATCTTAGGACATGATTGACTTAATTTAGCAACTTGGGCACTATTGGCTGATTTTTTATCAATTATCAATAAATTAGTTTATACACCACTTTAATCTGGGAGTGTTAGAAATACTT